TTTTTTAAATTTACTAATCTTCTATAATAGACTCCAACTCATAGTTCGGCAGATGGTTGCCTACGATTTACGGATTGTGTCTGCTTAATAAATCCAACAATACGGGACGATCTCGCCAACCTGCCTTCTTGGGTCAGAAAAGTTGGTGGATATAGACCAGAAACAGCTTTGGTAATGGGAAACTCCGATGATGACTCGATGATTTGGTTGCTCATAGAAGATGTCGCTAAGGGCATACTGGATGAAACGATTATAACTGCCTCTCCAAATTCCCGCGAGACGACAGCCAGATCAGTGTTCCGAATCATAAGGTTATTACCCATTTAGCCTCTCTCTGATTGAAACTAAACTAGCATTTTGAAAGATTCTTGCAACGTACATAATATTTGAAATCTCTACCTCAAACTTGATAAATACTTTTATTAAACCTTATATGTATTTATTTACTCATGTTCATATTTATGTAAAAGTAAAGTCCAACTCATTCACAAAATTACGGCTTTACGTCCTAAATCTAAAATGTAAAAGCATTCAAATGAAAAATATCAGGCTATTTTTTGAAGTTAAAATTTAAATAGCTGATGGATGCTTTAGTTAGCTGGCCTATATGTGGATAAAAAGCTACAAATAAAAGCCTCAAGGGTGAGTAAGAAACAAATACGAAAATCGTCAAAAGGTATCAACTAAACGAAGCTGTCTTTTTTCATAACATAAAATCACTGGGACCTCGTGTTCGCAACTTGGTCTTATTGCCAAGGCGACCTAGATGAACGTAAATTGTCTGGAGTCCTCTGCTATAGTATCCATAATAATCTCCAACGTCGGCACACTCACGGGCGTTTCATTGGCACTATTGTCGGCATCGTCATTTAGCCTTGCCAATCTAAACACCAAATTAAAACTAGTCAAAGAGACAAGTCTGAGCAATTATGGTATCTCTCCTGTCCCGGTACGTCTGCCCATTCTACATCTCCGTGTCACCCCTTTCTAAATCACAAATTTTAATTCATTTATTTTATTTTTCGTTTATAAAAATGTTTCGAGATTACCAGTAGATCACATTTCGTTTAAGGTGAATCTCGAAAACTTAATCTGACGATTGGAATAATGAAAGGTTTGCTCGTCAGAAGCTTATGTCTAATAGACATTAAATTTTTG